TTATGCTGGCCCATTTTCAAACCACTATTTTTCCTTTGTGATAAATGCAAAATCCAAATAACCAGAGATACTCATGTTCAAACATGCCCCAACAACTGCAAGAACAGTGCTCTCTTCACAGGAAATATTCAGCAGACATGGTTCACCCAAAATTTTAGTTAGTGATAATGCTGCCATTTTCAAATCTGATGAATTGATTTTGTTCACAAAATGGTATTTAACAGCGTACGATAGCACCAGGATATTCATCAACAAATGGACGAGCTGAACGATTTTGTCAGACTTTGAGAGCTTAGTTGAAATGATTCACGAACCTGAAACATCACATAATAAATCGCATTTTCTCCGCTTGAGATACCAAGTAACACCTTCAGTCTGTGAGAAATCACCATCAGCATCTTTATTTTGTAGTTATCTGAGAACCAAGTTGGATTTGAATCGTCCACAAGAGCAAGAAAAACCTGATGTTCAACAGCAAAAATTTGATAGGTTTTCCAGAATTGGGGATAGAGTACAGTCACCTGATTATATAAGGAACATCCAATGGATATACGGATTTGTACTCAAACGATTAGGTAGACTGTACTATATAAGAGAATTTGATGATGGTTTCATCATCAAGCGCCATTATAATCAGTTGAGGGTGTGTCAAGTGGTGAGGCAATCAAGATTCCTGATGTTCAACCAGATACATTTATTCCGATGTCAACTTCAAGGCAAGAAATGATTCCTTTTATGGACAAATCACGAAGCAGAGTTGTATTACCTGAACCACTGAATAATACGACTAGTGAACCTCAGCCATCTGAAACCGCCGCAGAAGCAACTGTATCAACAGAGTGTTCTGCAATACCTTCGCCAGGGTCCTTGGGGAAATAACAATCGATAGAGGAACAAATGAGTAATCAACCTTCCATTTCATCAGTTTCACTCACTAGAGATATGATGAATGGAGAGATACAGACTTCTTCGATGACAACCTTCATGGAAAATTCTCCTTTCCCTTCGTTATCTGATCAGTTGCGACGCTCAACAAGAATCAGGAGACTAGTTGATCGTTTCCATTTTCGATCTCGTTTTTCAATGCACATCGATATTGAGCGGCGGAGAATTGTTATGTATTTTTATATTGTGATCAAAATCATGAAATGACTCTGTATGTTGATGTGATGTCAGTTAGATATTATTGAATAAAATATGATCTATATCTACGATATTTCAATCTATCACCAAAAAAAAAAATTTGTCTGTGGGGATCAATATGCACAAAAATTTCCTAGGGTATTGGCAAGAATACTAGGCAACGACGAAAGAATCATTGATAATGAAATGGAGGATGACATCAAAAGTTCTGAATTGAAAAATTATTCATTATTTCAAATTCTTTGGAATTTTTCCTTCTCGTTTCTATAAAATGAGAATATGGATATCATTCCAATATACGTGTAGTGAATAAAAATCAGATGATTTGTTGAAAGTTTGGAGAAGAGAAATAGAGGTATATAGGAAGAATATCAGATTGTCACTTATCTTTGGACGTTTTGGGACCGATTCTGCCCCGTTTTCAACACAAGAAACAGTATCGAAAAATGATTTATTTTATGGAACCATCACGATGACACAGTTAAAGTGATGTTCAATACTTACAGCATCAGCAATGGTGAAACCAAACAAACAGTTCTCAACAATACCATAGGTTTGGCTGAATCTACTGATTTTATTATCATATCAGAACGAGATATTTTTCATGACAAAAATATCAACAAAATCATATATAAGAATGAAAATGAGTTGAGAAGGTATAATAGCTGTGTCATAACTATTCTTTCTGAGAAAAAAATAGGAAAACGGCAAATTAGCAATCATTGAAAGCATGAAACAATGCATCAGGAATACTTCCGGAAATGAACGGAGAAATATCTATTCAAGAACATTGATGCGGCCAATTCTTGAGGTGATTGAAAATATCGACGCAGTCAACAACGAGATTGATGAACATATGAGAAATTATGACCAGAAGGATCCCGACAGTTGCCAGCATACTTCTTCAGATCATACAGCTCTTCAATGATCAAGTAAGCTCAGTATAGACAATTGATATACGATATTACATACTATCAATAATGGGGTAGTAATGAACTATATATTCTTCTCGAGAGTTTTGATTTTCCTCATGTTGTTTCATTCACTAATCACTGGTTGAGATTAGGAGAACTTATATACATTCCTAATTGGACTGTAGTATCTAACTCCAGTAGGACAATACTGCATTCATCGGTCTGGAATTAGATAATGAGAATAAATATAATGATCCCAAACGGGCGAAACAATTTGAATCCACGTTAGCTGCGTCAAGTGAATTCAACTCATTAATATTGTGCATATACAGATCGCCATGTATCAATGACTTTATTCTTCACACAAAAATCGGATCTTTCCAAGTCAAACTACCACCGAAGGCACTTGTTATTCCGGCTGAAAACTTCAACATAAACCATGATAGTAAACCTATTCCTCGGACCCAGCAATTACAAAATCTACATACTGGTTCTCGATGGAACCTTGCTCACATTGCACTGTCAAATTTGATCTGACTAACTGGTGTTCGCCATCTAGTTTCCTCAGAACTATCTAATGTGTACATAACAATGAAAATGGAATCAATCATCAATTCTTCAATGAAACGATGAGTAACTTGCTTAATCTTCGATGAACTCAATGACACAAATAATTTCTCATTCTTCTCGAAAGAAGTTTCAGTAGGTTTTACAAATTGGTGAATTCAGAAATCTTGCAATTGAACCGCAGCAACGTTTACTGTGGATATCTCCTTGTTCTTCACAAAATTGTTGAAGGTATCGATTCTTTTCATATAACATGTTATACAGGTACGTACAAGAAACTTATGCGCTACATTCATGTAATTCCATGAATATTAGGGCATTAATTGCCTTTTGATCGTCCGTTTTTATCAAAACTGTTTCTGATTGAATGCATCCGAACATTTCTGAAGTGATTATTGAGCCCGTGATTTCGTATTATCTCCACCTCACATATTCTACTGTATTTCTTCATTTCAACTCTACATATTATGAGTCAATCTTCATCTTATAGAGAACTGAAAAATTTGAATTCCTCATTCAACCGATTAATACAGTCTGACGATTCCAACATAGCACATTTTGCTATCCTTTCAGAACATAATTGAGAAATATTTCAATAAAAACTGATTGAGAGAACAACAATGAAAAGGAGAGAATCACAATATCATTGAAAGATGAGAGAGCTATGATCTTGCCCTATGAAAAATACGTAAAATTGTATCAATGAACTCTTATCACAACTATCAAAAAGGTACTGCCTCAGTTTGTACATCATTCGAGTTATTGAATTCAACTATGAATTCAGAAACACATAACCATCCAGGATGTTTCAAAAATCTGGAAACAAAACCTGGCAGAAAAAATCCTGAGACGATAAAGGAAGTCATATAATTATTGACTTCATAGTTCTGGAAGTTCATTCATTTTTTGAGGATGCAGTTCCTCTTGGAGCTCAACAATGATAAATAATTCGATTCTACCTGCAAAGTTCTTGAAGAAGGCTATCAGTCACCTATAAATTTCATTCGCAAATTCACTGATACACTCTTGAGAAGTATTTATGCTATCTTCTGATGGAGAATCAGTTCAACTGTCGACTCTCAATTCAACTTCTTCTCTTGCGGAAGCGTTCTTTGGTAATGTGCTTGCGAACCCCATTTCTTGACAATCAAGTTGAAGGCTCCTGAGATCCCATTAGAATGGACAGTTTCCTCACACGATATCTTAGAGTTTTCGACATGGTAACTGATGATTAAGAGTTGGATTTGATCCCTCATACAAAGGATGAATGAAACATCCATTATTATTGGTTTACAGTCATTCCACTGCTCATTGCCAGACACTCAGAAAAGAAAACTCTCATTGATCTCCTCGAATTCAGAAAAACTTGGGAGCACATATCAGACCAGAGCAAGGAAATAAACCGCAAGAGGCACATAGCATGACAAAATCTTAGTGCATTAGCACTTCGAGAATCACAAAGACATCATAAGTATGGACAAAATAACGATAAAAAAGAAGTCTTGATATGTGAACCACTCCTGAATAAGCCTTCAAAAGTAGCATAATGCAAATCTCAACGCTGGAGTCAACACCTTTGGTTGCCTCAAACGTTCACCATGTAGATACCATGGTCCAACATCATCTCAGCAAACCCGATGTTTTGTAATCATGCCTGCTGCAGCTGGATAAAGATAACCTATCAGCCTTGACTGAACAATCATTTTACATCCTGCATGATTTCCTGAGTTGAACCGTTTGAAGTGTGAGTTTGTGCATCATTTACAAGAATTATACTCTTTTCTGTTGGGTAAACTCATTCTGGAATAACAAATGATAATGCATACGTTGATTTCTGATTCAGATAGTATAGGCAAACCTATGGTAATGAATATGATCGAGTACTAGAACTGGATAACAAGGTTCAGACAAGTGAATAATCTCTGTATAATATCAGTCTAGACCTCATCAAAAGTGACGATATGAGGAAGGTGACCAGAAGTTCAATAGGAAGTGGAAAGCAATAAACGTTGAGTCTTCAATCTACAAAGGAAAAGTGGATATATTCAACAAAAATGATACGATAGCTCAGACTCGACGTTACAAAGTTGATATCCTTTGAATACTGAATGTAGGTGAATCACTCGACAACTCAACCGCCTATATTTTGCCGGTTCGAGAGTTATTCTCTGGGCAGAATACTTCATAATTTGTGTCGCCCCAATTTTCCAGATAATGTCACGGAATTTGACGCGTCATAAGGTAGATGTAATGAATATCAATCGCTCCCAGAACTTTTATGGAGCAGCACGTTATTGTATCAGTTTTTCAATGACAAAAATATCTGATTCGAGAGTCAAAATTATGAAAATGATAGAATGTTTCATTGAAACTCACCTTGGTCAACTGGAATAGGTCTGAACAAATTGTCAATGATGCTCCCAAGAACATGATGAATATGCTCACCCGATGAATATCTTCTACATCTCTGGCCAATCTGAAATCATGAATCCTCCAGTCATTTCTTGATGATTTGAAATTAAGCACAATGACGAATGAGTTCTACTTCTAGAAAGTTTATACCAATCCGCCAGAGCGGTCTCCACTAGAGAGAATGAGCAGTGCTTATTCTATCAGCTCCCGATGTATCTTATTGATTTTCTGTGATTCATTGGAACGAAAGAAATCTCAGGGTTTTTGTACATTTCTATCAAGATCGAACAACTGAAGAGGCATAGACCATGGAACGCGGTGATATCATCAAACAAATAACCAGGAATACATTGAATATATTCAGAATCCTTCAAATAACTTGAATGTTCAGTCGATCTTATTCAAGATATCATGCTTATAGATTTTTATTTATTTATTTATTTATTTATTTATTTATTAACGGGTGAACCCAGTGTAAAAAAAAACATGAATATATATAGCCTATACAACATATCACAGACCATTGATTGATTTATACATATCTACACTTTAAATACAATGAACATTGAAAATAAAAACATTACATTATTGCAAGAATGCGTTTGGCTCTTTCAGTGCCAGTGTTAAAAATGTCCCAGTTCACTCTGTTACTCAGCGTCATCATCCTGTTTATCGGGCTATTGTTTGCATATATAGTTCTATGAGTTTCTAAATTGAACGTGCTGCTATAACGTAATCGTTTTTGAGGAACATGAAATTTTAGGGAGGCCAATAATTCAGGACAATCAATCTGATTATTACATAATTTTTGAATAGTGATGATGTCATTGTTGCTTCTACGCTCTTCTAGGCTTTTTATGTTTAGGCGATTTAAAATATTGTCATAATCAAATTCCTCCATAGGAATACCGAGCTTGAAACCAATATAACGCAAAAAACGTTTCTGAACTCTTTCTATTTTCATGATATGAGCTTGGAAGGCAGGACACCACACAGAGCTGCTATTTTCAAGTTGAGAGCGTACCAATGAAAAGTAAAGGGATTTCAATGCCACGATATTATGAAAGTCCTTTGTTGATCGTTTGATGAACCCTAGCATCTTCAAAGCTTTCTTACAGATAAATTCAATATGAGGAATAAAGCTAAGTTTAGAGTCAAAAAGTATACCAAGATCTTTCATAATGTCTACCTTTTCAATGACTACATCATTTAAGGAGTACTCATCATTGTTAATTATGCTGTGATTTTTGCTGAAACGAATATATTTACATTTTGGAATATTAAGAACTAGTTTTTTCTTGTGGCACCACACAGAGAACCTGTCCAAGTCCTCTTGAAGATGAGTTGAGGAGGAGGGTCTCTCCAATTTGAGATATATTTTCATATCGTCAGCATATAATAATATTGAACTGAATTTAAAGCAAGAAGATACATCATTAACAAATAAATTGAACAGTAAGGGTGCTAAATGAGCACCTTGAGGAACTCCAGAAGTGATTACAATTTCATCTGACAAGGAGGAATTAATCTTAACTCTTTGCCTGCGATTATCTAGATAGGATTTTAGCCATGCCAACAAACTGCCTCCAAGGTATTTGGACAACTCAAAAAAAAGCAAATTATGATCTACCTTGTCAAATGCCTTGGAGAAATCTGTGTAAACTGCATCAACACTTAGTCCCTTCTCCAAGGCATCGACAATGTAGGTCTCATAGAGTAAAAGATTTGTAGTGATAGATCTTTCTTGGCAGAAACCATGTTGTGTTGAGCTGATGATATTTTTGAATTGAAACTTCAGAAAATCATTTACAATAGATTCAAATGCTTTGGGTATGAGCGATATCTTTGTGATTGGGCGATAATTTAATACAGAGTCTTTTCTTCCTGACTTCTTGTAAATTGGCACAACATAAGAGTTTTTTCAAAAATCTGGGAAAGTACCGGATTGAAGAGAATTATTGAAAATAATCCAGAGTGGACGGGACAATGAAAATGCACAAGATTTCATGAAGATTGCTTGTATAGTATCAGGGCCAGCCCCTTTAGAGCAATCAATGCTCTGAAGTTTTTCTAGAATGTCAGAAATATTTATAAATATTTTATTGATGCTGATGGAATCAAATTCACTGTCTGATCTAGGATCAATAGAGGTATTGTCACTGGAATATACTGAAGAGAAATGTTTAGCAAAAAGATTTGCAATTGAATTGCCATCAGTTGCAACCTCATCATTAAAGAATATCTTATTGGGAATACCATCCTCCTGATTTTTGGAGCGAATATAATTCCAGAATAATTTGGGATCAGAGATAATTCCGTTTTCTACTTCAGAAATATAGTTATCGTAGCATGATGATGATTGTTCTTTGCATAATGATCTTAAATGAGAAAAAATGTTGTAATCCTCCACTGAGTTGGTGCGTTCATATTGTTTATGAGCTTTTTTTTTTCAGTATAGTATTATTTTTCAGTTCTTCATCAAACCAAATAGGAAATCTAAATTTGCCTTTCAGTCTGATCACAGGTGTGAATCTGTCAATTCCTCGAAATAAAATATCATAAAAAAGTTTGACAGCATTATTAACATCAGTGGCAAGGATTTCATCCCAATTGATGTCAAGAAGGAATTGGTTCATAGCTTGGAAGTTGCAGTTCTTGAAATCATATGAGAACTCTTCAAAGTCCAGTATTTCAATCGGTGTATGACATTTGATGTTTATACTTAAAGCAGGATGATGACGATCAAGTTTCAAAAGGACATCACTAGCAATATTGACTATAACATTAGGATTGTTTGAAAGAACTAGGTCTAGTATCACATTATTATTGTTGCTTATTGAATTCAGTTGATAAAAGTTCAGATAGGAAGAAGTCTCAATAAAATACTCAGCTGTGGAACTGTGTCCATGAGCACTGATTCCAAGATGATCATTATTCCATTGAATGTTGGGTAAATTGTAGTCTCCCACAATGCAAACAGTTGAAGATTCAAAAATGTTTGCCATGAACTCTGTGGCTTCACAATGTAGTTGATAGACCAGTTTATTTGATTGAGGGGGAATGTATAGATGACGAAAACATATTCGAGTGGGGTCAGATATGGAATATACCATATCAAATAGTTCGTTTGTTAATTAGGTTGTCATTACCAAGGTATATTTCCTTACCGATTCCTTTTTCAGTTTTTACTGACGATAGCAACTTAATTGTCGTTATTCGTATGTTGACTGTGACTCAATATGAATGTGTTATAAAGGTTATATTTTGTGATCAATGAATCAACTACTGTCTCGAAATCTCAACTGTATGGTCGAGTACTGGTGGGGATAGACAGTTTTCTAGTCATTGCACAAATTTTGCTTTGTATATTCTACCAATTCCAGTAACACTATTATCCATTCCGGAATCTCCAATTGTATGGTTATAAGTACAAGTGCCCAAGACTTCGACTCAGTGAGATGTTATAAATGTTGTTTGACATGCAGAATCTGAAAGGTCCCTAGCCTCGATTCTATTTTCATTATCTGCAATCGAAGTTACCTTTTCTGTAGCCGAAAGGTCTTGACACTTTTATCTATGGGCAATCATACAGCTATTGAAATCTGAATGAAAAGTTTCCGATATGGTTAGGCAATTTCAAATCTCATTTGCTGGTTCATTTCGAATTGAATGCACAGCATAACAAGAATGGGGTTCATTTTGTGTGTTATTCCTTAGGTGTGAAGAATTTTGATTGTTTTTTGTCAAGTTAGGAATGATGCTCCTGACCACATACTTTGCAAACTCTGAAGTTGCATCTATCGATAGAGTGTTCACTCTTCGTGCGATCAAGACATAAATTTGGATCAATAATGAATTTCTTTCTTTCAGGAACTCCAAGTTCCATGAATCGGAGACACTTGTATAGGGTATGATTATTCATTTCACAAGAAGCACATCTGCGAACAGAAGTTTATTCTTGACTCGTATGATGAGAAACATTTGTATATTACTGTATATTGTCACCTGGGGCTTCGAAGGCTGAGCATCGTGTTTCGAGACATTCAAGAAATCCATTCAGAGTGGGTATACCTTCTTCCAATAACCTCAAAAGCTGACCGTTTATGAAATTCTGATTCCTTGCAATATACGAATATGAGAATCAAATACAATTATTCTACCTGAACATTGAGTGAATCCAAGGCATTAGTGTCTTGTTTCACCTGAGTTATAAATTGTCACATGAGATCAGATTTCATTTTCGTGATGATGGAAACTTCCGAAAGAGCAATAATATAGGTATATATGATAGCTTATCTGTTCTCATTTATTTCCATCAGAATGTCCCAAGCAATATTGTAATTATCGTTAGTCAATTAGAGATTATCAATGAGGGAGAGTGGTTCATATCAAAGACCTAACTTCAAATGAAAGAATTCTTGAACATTTCTTATTTCGCCATTTTCATGAATCAGTGAAACGAATAGATCTTCGAATGATTTCCACTCATCATATTCACCTGAGAAAATTGGGAAAGTTATGTTGGGAAGTGCAACATTTTTTCTCGGAGAGCTCTGAGGGGCAAGGATTGAAGTTTATGAGTTAAGAATTCAATTATAAATGGCATTATCCATAATGAGTTTACATTCGTTGAGAATTTTGTACACTTGTCTTGATCTTGGCAACTGAAGAACAGTTACGTCGTTTGACATCGAATCTATCGATTTCTTGATTTTCCAATACCGATTCTCTAATCGCAAATTCATTTATATCCACTTCGGTAGCCTTAACAAATTGTACAAATTCTTCAATCCTAGTAATTGCTTTCTCTGAATTTCTTGTGATCTAACTTTGTATGTACGTCGAAAGTTGTCAGCATACCAATATCCGTGGATCGATGGAACAATGATCACGGAGAGAGAGTGAACTGTCTGAAGAATTCAGAAGGCTTGATTGGTATATGGCAATATCAGGAAGCAGAATTGATCTCCTGAGATTCAAGAAATCCCAAATATCACCCACTGAAGACATATTTCCACCTCAGATAATCCTGCTGATTATATTCCGAAAGGCATCTCAGTGAAC